CGCTCGGAGCCGCCCCGCCGCTCTGTGCCGCCCCGCGCTCGTCTCGCTGGCCGCGCTGGGCGGGCCTGGCGGAGCCATGGCGGCCGTGCGGGGCCTGCGGATCTCGGTGAAGGCGGAGGCGAGCACGACGGCGGCGGAGCCGCGCGGCCCCGAGCCCGAGCCCATGGAGGTGGAAGAGGGAGAGCTGGAGACCATCCCTGTGAGGCGCTCGCTGCGGGAGCTCATCCCGGTGAGGGCCCAGAGGGGCTGGGTCCGGCGGCTGGGGGTGTCCGAGCTCTGAGGGGATTTTTGGGGGGGTTCTTGGGAAAAGCGGGGATGTGAGGGGACTCGGGGCCGAGCGCTAAGGAAGCGGGTGGGTTGTGCTGGGGAAGGAATGGAATAAAGGAAGCGGTGGAGAAGAGGATTTGGGGTGCAGCGTTGGGGTGTGAGGAGCTGTGGGTGGCAGGGTGTACGGGCAGTGTTTGATGCCGGGAATGAACACAGGGAATACCTGGAGCAGGAACGGGGCTGACCGCGGCACAGCAGAGCTGGCAGTGGTGGCTCTGAGGGCTTCCTTCCCCATGTTGTTCTGCCCTTTTTCACTCGCCGATTGTTTCTGTGCAAGTTTTAGTAGGATTAGGTTTAACAACTGAAAAATGGGTCAGAGTTCTCAAATCCTAAGTAATCTTTCGCTCTCAAAACTTGGGTGAAAATTGTTTTGGAAGCTAATCTTTAATTAGCCGGTCTGCCAACGTGCTTGTGCTTTTGCACAACATGTGGCCTCGGAGACAGCGTCGTGCTGCACTTCCTTGTGCTCCGTGAGTCAACCTCAGACACTGTGGGGTTTCAGCTTTAAAAATCATGTTTATTTTGCTTTTCCTTTTCTAGTAACTCTGGCCATTTGGCAGCATTAGAGGAACTTTGGTGCTGCTACTAAGAAAAGCGGTTGGATAGTGTGTGTTCTTCTAAACTGAGAGTAACCTACTGCTAGAAATAGTCCTTTAGCCGAAGTCATTATTGCAGCACAAGTGTAAAGAACACGTTTCCTCCTAAAGAAAGGAAGAGGAGTTCTTCCAGCTCCAAACTTCTGCCACTTGAGGGTGTCTGAATGAAGAGATGCCATTTTACAGATCCAAACAATGCAGGGCACAGAATTGGGTCATTGGTCCAGGGGCTGTGAGGTTTAGTCCCTCTCTGAATTCAGCAGTCCTGACTGATAGAGAGGAAACTTGTAATTTTTTCCCCTCTCATTCTACATTTTTACCCTCTCTCAGTATCAAAACAGAAGTGTTTCACCTTGGGATTTGGAATTTGGGGTTGAAATAATGGTAGGAATAAAAAGTTACTTGTTTCATTGTGGATGAGGCTTGGTGTTCTCACTTTCTGAGATTAAAAGCTGCAAACTGACATTTGAGTAGTCAGGTATCACTTTTAAATCTGCTCATGTTTTACAAGGAAATTATACCCAAACCCAAAATTGTGGAAGTCTTACTTGGGAAAGATGTTTGATGACTTTTCCTGTGTTACTGAGAGAGTAAATGCTTGGCAGCAGCTGACAAAGAAACTAAATTCTGTCAAAAAAAAAGAATCCTTGCAGTGAGGGAAGTTTGGTTCAGTTCATGTGCTTTTACTTTCACTGACATGAAAGTGTTTCTCTGTCCAGGGATGTAGGAAAAGAGGATCTATTTCCTGTAGGAATGATCAGGTGGTTTTTTCAGTAACAAGTGTGTTGCTTTCAGTGCACATTGAGATTTCATCACCATTTTGCTTTGTTTCAGGACACCAGTAGGAGATATGAAAACAAAGCTGGAAGTTTCATCACTGGCATAGATGTAACCTCCAAGGTAATTTTTGTGCTATGGCTCTTCAACATTTTGTCATTTTTGCCACTGGAGAGGTGGGACTATTTCATTTCTTTCTTTCCCAACATGCACAAAGGTTTAGCCTGGTGTTCAGGTGATTCAGCTGGTATGAATCACAGTGTGTGTTCCAAAGATCCAAAAACCTATAGTGCTTCCTAATCAATCTGGAGAACAAGGAGCTTCTCAGCCAGTTCCCAAAACTGCACAAGTTCCAGGCAGGCTGTTGCTCATGAGCTACATGAGAGGAGCCTGCATTGCCAGTCTAAAAAGTTCTCTGGAGCCAGCTCTCCAGTGTTTAATTCATGCTCAGAGAAACAAATTCACACTTTTGTATATATTTAAAAAAAAAACCGGGGAAATAATATCATCTTCAAAGATTAATTTTGCCTAAAAGGCTTATTTTAGAACAGGGGGTTTATTTAATATTTGTTAGTAAGGACTAGATAATGTTCCTGTTCCATTATGGAATCTGTTTGTCCAAGCCACATTGTTTTCCATGCATCCTGATTCCCGTTGCTGGATCTACACAAAAACTCTTCTGTGACACAGAAATATTTTTGTGAATTACTACTACATTTCAAAACCTGCAGGTCTCTCCAGAATTAACAGAATTATTAATATAAATTGTTGCTGTCTGGTAGATTTTAGTATCCTCGGTGCAGTTTGTTAAGCGTGCTCCTGACTCCTGTGTGAGTTCATTGTTTTGCATTTTGCAGGAAGCAATTGAGAAGAAGGAGCAAAGAGCCAAACGTTTCCATTTTCGGGCTGAGGTGAATCTGGCCCAGAGGAACGTGGCCCTGGACCGGGACATGATGAAGAAAGGTACGAGTTCATCCAGCAGTCAGGAGCAAAGTTTCTTGACTTGATTTATCCTGTAATATTTCCTACATTCTTAGAGGTTTTGTCCCATTACTGCTGAAAGGAATCACTTTGGGGATTTTCCACCTCCTCGTTTGCACATCATTGTTTTTTAACCTGTTTGACACTTGCCACTTCACTCCTTGTTTTACCAGCCCCACCACAAAGATAACATTTTTTGTGTGCCTTATTTTCTACTGCTAAATGCCCAAGATTCACCTCCTGGATCAGTGCTGCTTTGAGAATCTTTAAATGCTTTGTGCAGAGCCTGGAGCGGTGTGTGGGTACACGTGGAGGACTCTGTGTCCTGTGCACAGCGAGATCAGACTCTGTGCTGTACACACACTGAAGCTGCACTGATGGCAAGCTGGAACAGAAGCCAGGAGATGTGTGCACAACAGATTGGTGCTTTTGGCACCCAGCTAGTTCTCAAGGCTTTTTTTTTCCAGCTGGCAGCTTGGACCTGCTAAGCTGTGGCCTGGAACAGCTCCCCATCAGGTGATACAAGTGGAAGTGCTTTGTGCAGGGCCTTGTTTTGTTCTGGCTCTTTAGTACTTAATGATAGCGCTTTGGCAGTGTTCAAAGAGCAAAAAAAAAAGTTTTTCAAGCTGTTTGGTTGCTGTGCAATCTCTGTATCTAGCAGTGCTTGAAACCTCTTTTAATTCTCAGTTTATTGAAAGTTTTGCATTGTGGAAGAATAAACTAAGTTATGGTCTATGTCATGCTTCACTTCAATTAGTTCCTCTTTAGTTTATTTAAAGTATTTGCTTTATAAACTCATATGGCACTAATCTGAAAACTTGCAATAAGTACCAGTTTTGTGTCTTTTCTTCTTTATAGCAATCCCGAAGGTGAGACTGGACACCATTTACATTTGTGGAGTGGATGAGATGAGCACCCAGGACATCTTTGCCTATTTCAAAGAGTATCCTCCTGCTCATATTGAGTGGCTGGATGACACCTCGTGTAAGTAAACAGAATATTTGTAATTCTTACTCTTTTATTTAAGCCTGGTCACAGCTGCATCTCTAAGGGGAAAAAGAAAAATGTCTAAAATGGTGAAAAATGCCTAAAATTATTATTTCCATCTTGACATGAATAATATATCTGAGAGAGGGTGATTGAACTGTGCAGTTGGGCAGGTTGGGATGGTTTTGGGAGGAGGAGGAGATTTGTTGCCATATTTGTGTAGTGCATGCTCCAGGAGAACTGGGTGGGTGGAAGGAGGTGGCAGCTGGGTGTGATTTCCATAGATTGGAAAAGGAATGTGGGTACACATGGTGAGGGCTGTTTTGGGGAGTGAGATCAGTGAGATCAAAGGTGGTGGAGAGTTGTGCTTTCCTCACTGACACTGAAGCCTGTAGAAGAGTTTTTTTGCTACAGAAAATGGAATACTCTGAAATTGTCATGTGGCTACAAACCTTTTGCCTGCAATAATAGAAAAATAAGTAAGAGCCAGTGCAGGTTTTCCAAACAGCTGGAAACTTACTGACAAGCATGGCTAAAAGCTGAGAATCAATACCTTCATTCTTTGCAGTGACCCTGAAGAAATTCTGCTCCAGTGCAAGACAAAATAGATGGTGACCTTGAAGTCACTGTATATGACAGCTTGAAGTACTGGCACAAGCTGATAGAAAATGTGAAACCCAATGAGCCCTGGTAGATAATTGCAGTACAGAGCTGCTGGATGGACCTGTGCTGATGCATGAGCTGGGACATGCACAGCTTAACTCTATCTGAGGCTTCATTTCCAAGATTGTCTGTTTTCTTAAGTGCTACATGAGCATGAAAATTAAGGCTTCAGGGTTGTAACAATACCCAGTTGTAGTTATTACACATCTTTTTTAATGGTGAATTTTCATGCTGTGTCTGAGTTACCATGTCAGCTACACTTGGTGAAAATATCAAGAAAAAGCTTTTTCTTTTCAGCGTAGATTTGAATCATGGTGAAAATTTCAGTGTTCCCAACTGAATTACATCTTAAGGTGTGCAAAGGTGTATTTAGTGTTCTGTGTTTCAAACTGATGAACATGAAATGATGAAGGTTTTGGAAATTTGGAGTTGGGAAGATGAGGCTGACTGAAAAAAAAAAATTTATTAACCAATCATTGAAGTTAATACCTGGATGTTCTTCACTTTGTATTTCTTGTCTGTTTGAGTAATTTAAGAGAGATTCTCTTATTTTGGGTCACTGTACAGTCTTCTTAATATCTGAATCCACTCTGCTTAACAGCAGAACAGAGATATTTGTTGCTGTATTTGTACCAAGTGCAGAAAGCTTTTGTTCAAATTCTGTTTCTAAGCAGTTTTAGCTCCTTCAATTTCAACATCTATGAAATGCTTTTAATTGGCCTAATAAGTTATATTTTAGTACCATCTGCTGATGCTTAAGGCACATCCTGAATGATATTGTGAACCTGTGTACTCTATAATCTGTGCAAAGTACTGGAGCAGTCTCCTATTTCCCCCTATTTTCATGCTTTTTGGAAAAGATTAACAGAATTCTGCAGTAAAGTCCAAGGTTCTGTCAATTCCCAAAGGGGAAAAAGATCCAGATTCATTCCTGCCCCCTGCTGCTCCCTTAATCACATTTGTGTGGGAACACATGGATCCACTGACCCCAATCCAGTGCCCTGATTTGCTGTTTTCAGGAAGCCTCTCAAATCTATGGTTGTACATTTCAGTCATTTTGGGTTTTTGATCAGCTCTTGTGTTTTGTAATAAGCTGAAAATTGAGTGTTCTTCAGCTTACCAGGTGTGTTAAAGAATATGACCTTCCCTGCAAGAGATCTGATGGCTTTTTCTGTCATTTCTGAATTTTTGTCATTGATTTCCTTCCAGCAAGGCAGGGGAGATGTGACTGCTTGATGACACCGACTGCATTTGGGTTTTGTGTTTCTGTTTGTCCCAGGTAATGTGGTCTGGCTTGATGAAGTGACAGCAACACGGGCTCTAATAAATATGAGTTCCCTGCCTGATCAGGAGAAAACAAAGAGCAGAGAAAACAACAAGGAGAAGACAGCTGAAAAAAGCAAGAAAGGTAGATTGAGATATGCAAATACAGCCATCATCTCATTAAATCAATGAAACTTTAAACTTGTGCTGGGGTATTGCATAACCTAAATTACTGAAGGAGCTTCTATCATATAGTTGCAGGTAAATGTATTCTGCCACTTTAAAAAAGGCTTTCATCTTGGAAACCTTTTGAAGAAGCTGCTTCTTAAAAGGTGGGTTGGAGCTAGACCAAAAGCAGTAATTCAGTCGATACTAAACGTGTTAGAAGAGGCTGATACTGAGAGCTGGTATTTATAGTGGGCCATGTGCACAGAAATAGCTGTGTGTGATGTGCCCACAAAGGCAGGCAAAGTGGGCAAAAAGCAGGTGTGAGAAAATGGCCTTTTTTTGAAACGCCACAGCTAATTCCCTCTTTGATGCACCACCATCCTTCAAGTGTATCCCTCACGGCAGCGTGACAGTGCATCACTTCAGCAGGGTGTGTAGCAGCTCTAAATTTGGCTGTTAGCCTTTTAAGAAAGAAGTTATTAAAAGGTTGGTTATAAAAGAGCAGAGCAGCAAAAGTGCGTGTCAGTGTCGTGATCAGTCTGGTACCTGACTGCCTTGGTTGTAAATTTATTTTCCTTTTATGTGGGGAAGTTTAAAATCAGAATTTTGCTACCTGAGGACAGTTTTGCTCTTAGGCTGCTGTGAGTGCTGTGGTTGGAGGTGCTCTATCACATGATAAAGAGCAAAAAAAGTGTTATATTTATGAGCTTTTCCATAGATTTTGTGTAAAAATGCTGTGTATGACTTAAATGCAAGTAGCCAATCTCTCTGTTAGATATCTGCAGTGCTTCCAAAAGCTTTTCTGGGAAATTTGGTGTTTAAGGCTTTGTTAAATTTGTGGATTCTTCGAATTCACCCCCTTTTCCTGCTCCTTTTCTCCACAAAGCAGTGGCTTCTCAACCATCCACATGACTTTAATTTTGACCAAATGTTGATAAAGCTTCAAGTAAGACTTGTTAGGAAATTTTTGGAGATTAGGGACATTGCTTAAATGGAGCATAAACATATATATTTAATCCTGCTTGCTGTGAATTGCATATTATCATTGCACCCCATCTGAAAATAAGAACTGTCATCTGAATGACTCCTGTTCCTCTGGAAAAGTGGGATATTAGAGAAAGTACAGACTGTTCAATTACATCTTAAGGTGTGAGATCCATACAGATACCCTGGAGTCATCTGGCTTGGTTACATTCCTTTTTTTAGATGGGAATTTCAGGGCTGTTTAGACATTTAGGGAAGCAAAAGATTGGTCTGTGCTATGAGAAACTTCTAATTTCTGAGAGAGAAAAATGCCTGAGTACTTTCCCTGATGGAACTTAATTATTCTGGTTTGAATTTGGGTAATTTGTTTACTTAAATTCTCTCTTTGGTTTCGGTTTGGTTAATTGAGCTTTACTGTTTTCACTCAGGAATATTTTCAGGATCTTTTGAACAGCTGCCACTCTCTATTTTAAGTTTTTAAGTCCATTGTTGGAAGATATTTAAAATAAGGAACTCTGAAATATAAAAGAGAGGATTTTTTAATCTTAGGCCTATGAAGTACTTTGAGACCTTTGCAAATGATATGGCATATCATGCTTCATAGTCATTACTTTTTGCAATATTTTATTTCTTGGGGGCTTTGGAAATAAAATCACCATGAATTTTCTTACACTGAGCTAAAAAGAACTAAGAAATCAAAGCAGCTCACAATTTTAGTAGTTCTGGAAGCATGCAGTTGTTTTTTTGTTATTTCACAGCCAAATTAAGTCTCTAAGGTGGTTTTTTTTTCTTTTTACTACTCTCTCTCCCTCTAAGCTTTTAATTAATTACCTGTTTTACACTGTTACTATTGGATATTTGCAGACATTTGAAAAGGAGATGGAAAGAAAGGCTTTGATGTGCCTTTAGTGCCTTGGCCTTGCTGATCTCTGATTTTGAACACACTAAATCCTGACAGGCAGTGCAGTTTCATTTGCTTTCAAAGAATTAAATTAATGATGCACACGTGCTGCTGCAGGCACAGAGCTCTGAATTTCACTGTGCTCCACTTTTCCATGGGCATTCACTGCTTTGATTATTCCCTAGGCTGCTCAGGAGGAAGGAGAACACCTTCAGGCTGGTTTCAGACAATGTAGGTAATCATAAATCAAATGAGGCTGACACACTAAAATGGAGCTTGGTTTTGTTTTGTTTTTTTTTTCCCCAATTATTTTCCTTAGAAAAACAGGAGGAAAGCTCTGATGATGAGACAGAAGAAGGAGAGGTTGAGGATGACAATCCCAGTGATGTGGAGGTCAGTACAGAGGGGAAGTGGAAACTCTGCTGTGGAAGTTCTGCTCTGGCTGCTGTGAAGTTTTCACAGCATTTTAGGTTTCTCTTTGCAATTCCCAATTTAATTATCAAAATAAATTAGGTGTGGAGTGACAGGGAGTGCAGGTGGTGATAATCCCAATGGAAAGGGCTTTGTGAAAATGGATTTTGGAGAGTTTGAGTGAGCCTGGCTTCTCTTTTCTGCTGAGAGGAGGCAAAGAAAGAACAATAATGGAAGGCAATGACCTTTCAGCAGGGAAAGTGCTTAGAGCCCAGTGGGATTTAGGCTGCCCGTGGATCTGTGGGAATCAGCACACCCAGTGATGTCCTGGCAGCAATTTAACCCTCACTGCCTGCGTGTACAGTAGGTGTGATTAGGATTTCCTGCAGGAATGGCTCAGTGAGCACTCCTACATCATGGAAGTCTGAATTGGAGTTTCTATAAAGCAGCTATAAATGAAAAAGAAAGGGTTTTAATCATTGTGTGAGGGCATGAGAACCTGTTAATAAAATAATGTAGCTGTGAAACAGGAAAAAAAAATTAATTGCCCAAGTTTTGCTATTTATTTTCTGCATTTCAGTCAGTAATGTAGAGTCATTTGACAATTACAGGATTTAATAACCTGAGTTAATTTTATGGAGCAAGAGAAGGAAATACTTTAAATTTTCAGGGCAATTTACATTAAAAATTAACATCAGCTTGTCAAGAAAATAAAGCAGAGTTCATTTGAACATAATTTGAAAAGTGACTTTCTTCATAATCACTTGATTGCTTCTCTGTAAGCAACCCATTTTTGTTCAGCAGTAATTTGATTTTTGAGTCCAAAATACCTTTTTTGCCCCCAAAGTTGGATGCCCTCTCCCAAGTAGAAGAGGATTCCCTCCTGAGGAATGACCTTCGCCCTGCCAATAAACTGGCTAAAGGAAACAAACTGTTCATGAGATTTGCTACTAAAGGTAAATGACCACCCTGACAAGCACCCTGAATTCACTGCTTGTTGTACTTTTATTTATTGGTTAATTAATGACTCAAAGTGCCTACTTCTTATTTATAACACTTCTTATAAAATAACACTTCTTATAAACACTTAGAAATAACACATCTTATACAAGTGTTATTTTTTGGCTAATTGTTAGGTGTTAAGATTTTGCCATAAATCTACATTTCTTGTGTCAATTATATCCAGTTCAAGTTCAAATTGTATGAAAATTATTGTACCTGGAAATTGTATCTTGAGCTCAGGGCATTCTTCCCATGGAATAGGAATGATGCCTTTTTCCAGAAGTAAATTCCACATTTTATAATTGAGATGCCAATGAGGGATTAGTAAAAATTATTGCTAAACATTAATTTTATTTATAAATAAAATGAAAATCCATATAACTTGTGGACCATGCAGGAAGTGGCACATTCATTAAGAAAAGAAAGGTGATGAGGAAGGTGAGTGGAAAGTCCTGCAGTGACAGGGGGAGGTAATGCCCTGTTAAGCTGATCTGTGGAAACCCAGTCTCCCTGGAATTAAGTTTCTAGAAACAAATAAATCTGTGGTAGGAGAAATTCCAGAGGTGTAAGCAAAATTGAATCCTTCATGGAGGAGGGTGAAGTAATTCTGATTTTAAGGCACACTCAGTCCCACTCTCTGTCTTTGGATGGTTATTTATTTTTATGCTGTGCTGTAAGTTACACTCTAAGAGGGAAAAATTCCTATAATTTATGTTTTTGCAGATGACAAAAAGGAGCTGGGAGCTGCAAGGAGAAGCCAGTATTACATGAAATATGGCAATCCAAATTATGGAGGCATGAAAGGAATTCTCAGCAATTCTTGGTGAGTGTTGGACAGAGGAATTGGAACATTGCAGGTAATTGGACAAGCTAATCTAAAACTGTTTTAATTTGTGGATTTTGTACTGAGTTAATGTAGATACTTCAGTGTAAATAGTGGTTTTGCAATGTGAGTGTGAATTATAAGGAGAGACTTTCCTCATGAAAATAAAGTTTCTATTCAGACCAGCTCTGACATAAACATGTGTCTGCTGTTAAAGTAGGTGATAATTGCACATCCTTCATCCAGGATTTAGGGGTCATGAATGAGCCGTAATTGCTGTGCCAGGAGTGTCAGCCTCTCTGTGCTTTTCAGGAAGAGGAGGTACCATTCCCGCAGGATCCACCGGGATGTGATCAAGAAGAGGACCCTGATTGGGGACGATGTGGGCCTGACTCCCCCCTATAAACATCGGCACTCAGGTACTGGTGGCACTGGGACAGCCCTGGGGGGACACTGGGACGTGGAGGGCTGGGCAGGAGCTGGTGCCTCAGCAATCCCATGGGATGGGTGGAAGTTTTCTTAAAAAAATAAATCTGCATCCCATTTTAAGAGTTTACAGGAAATTCCTGGGGTGGAAGCTTCATTCTTCTCGTTGCTTCCCAAAATAGATGTTATGTTTTATGTGACATTTTTCTTTTATAAAATTTAGAGCATGAGGACTGTGGCATCAAAGGCCAAGAGAAGGGATGAATGACTTCTTCAGCCTTCTTGGCAATTTGTCATACTTGCTACGTAAATTCTCCCAATCTTTAAATGTAGAACAGTAGGGATGAGAAAATTCTATTAATTAGGCTTGAACATCTTCATCTGCTACCTAAGGTAGGAAAACAATGGGTATAAAAATCTGACATGAGACAAGTGCACTGTGATTGGCCTGTTAAAAATACAGCCATGGATGTGAGAAATCTCTGGAAGATTTTCCATGCTGGTCGTGCAGTGCTGTCTGAAGAGATGGCTGAGTGCTGGTGATGACTACATTGAAATTGTTTCTATTTAAATCACTGTCTGTGATGAATTCATAATAATGGCACCTGTGTTCTTTTTGGCATTGCTGCTTGCAGGACTTGAAGGGATTTTTGCAGAGCCAGCAGCTGGCACATTAAGCCCTGTAAGATCCTGGGAATTGTGCTTAGCTCAGGAAGGAAGAACTGCAGCTTCTACAAGAGGCAGTTGTGCTTTAATTACTCTGTGTGAACACCAGGGACATTAACATCACTTATTGATTCCAGTTAAAATATTCTGCAAAATATTCTCTCTCTTTAAGAAGAGAGGACTAAAAGAACTTCAGACTCATCTGTAGGAGATCATTAATTACAGTGAGGCGATTTTCCGTTCCGTTTGGTTTTCAAGTACTTTCTAAAATCCAGTCAATCAGAACAAGTTCATTTTGCTGCAGGCTTGGTAAATGTCCCTGAAGAGCCCATAGAGGAGGAAGAGGAGGAGGAGGAGGATCAGGACATGGATGAAGATGACAGGGTGGTGGTGGAGTACCGGGACGAGCTGCAGGCCTTCCGGCAGTCGCGGGAGCGCAGCGCCGCGCGCAGACCCAGCGCCAGCGCCTCCGACTCGGACGAGATGGACTATGACCTGGAGCTGAAAATGATCTCCACCCCCTCGCCCAAAAAAAGCATGAAGATGACCATGTATGCAGATGAGGTGGAGTCACAGCTGAAGAATATTAGGTAAAGGTTTTTTAGTCTTTAAAAGCAGCAGTGGAGAGGGATTTCCTGGTTTTAGTGACAGAGCTGTCGAAGGTTGAGGTAGCAAAATTATATTATTTTGTATAGATTTTCTAACAAGAAATACAGAAACTAGGCTTTCAGTAGAATTAACACTTTTTTAATGCAGCTGCTTCTGCAGGTCTGATTTTCTAACAAGAAATACAGAAACTAGGCTTTCAGTAGAATTAACACTTTTTTAATGCAGCTGCTTCTGCAGGTCTATTTCCTGGTTTTAGTGACAGAGCTGTCGAAGGTTGAGGTAGCAAAATTATATTATTTTGTATAGATTTTCTTACAAGAAATACAGAAACTAGGCTTTTCATAGAATTAACACTTTAATACAGCTTCTTCTGCAGGTCTCTCTATCCTTGCTTATTAATAATAATGAAACTTGAAGTAGAATCAAGAGAAATTTATGAAAACAACCATAATTAACAGGGAAAAATAACTCCTTTCTGTTTTCTCTTTGCCCCTTGCTCTTTGTCTCAGAAAGAAAAATAACCCTCAGTTGCTGATGACAAAAAGGAATTTATGTTCATTATGGGCTTACTAAACAAAGTTTTGTATATTGTAGATGAATAAAATAACATCCATATAAATCCAAATAAATATAACCACCCCTTCAGCAGGCTGGTTGTACTTACTATAATGTACAACAATTTTGAGGCTGCCTTGAAATGGATACTGAGGTATTCATGGAATTATTGTTATATTTAGGATTCTGGCTTGAACAGCTTCTAAGCATTGTTTTTACTTCTTTTTCTCAGCAGATAAATCCTGATATTTTATTTTCTGTGATGTAATTTTCCATATAAGAATACTTAAGAACTATTCTAGATTGAATTTTATTTAGAGGACATCAAATCTATGATTTTTTTTAGGAATTCCATGAGAGCAGATAGCATAGCCACCAGCAACATCAAAAACAGGATTGGCAGCAAAGGATCCTTGGAGAAAGTTGCAGATGTGAGGCTCCTGTTGGAAGAGAAACGTCAGAATAACTCTGGGCCACGGCAGCCAAACAGCACTGTCAAATCAGGTGATTTTATCACTCATTGCTGGGCAGAATTGTCACTAAAATATCTTTATTTCACACCTGTGCTCCACTGCAGATAAACTCTGCATTCACACAGTTTGTCCTCACTAAGAGACTGAGGTGGGAATTGCTTTGGGGAAAAAATCAAGTTCACTTTAGTGAAAGTTTTTTTAGTGATGTTGATTTCCATCCATTTTCTTTGCCTGTGCCAATCTTCCCCCACTTTGTCCTTTTTGATTTGCTCCCTCCTTGAGGCAGCTGAAAAACAGCACACAGGGAAGGTCATGCACAAAATCAAATGTGAAACACTGACTACACTTAAAAATACACATTAAAAATGTGTATTACATGAAGATGGGTGGTTTTGCATTTGGCAGGATTTATTTCTGAGCTTAAATAACTTATTTATTTGACATAAATGTATATAATTTCAGCTGCTTCTGATCTATGTAATATTATCTGACTGATAAGTGAAAAATACTTTTTTGTATCAATGAAATGTCAAAATTATGTTTGTATATTTTACCCCTCCTGCCTGTTTTGAGCCTCTGACAAGTTGACACATGGTCCCAAAATTCCTTTTGCCTTCATAATTTTGTCTGGACCCCCTGTAAGATTGGGAACATCCAACTAAGCCAGGCAAACTTCAGAATACAAAATTCACATCAAGGGTTAAGTACCAATATCTTTAGTATTTTTATTTTATTCTGGCAGATAACAAGCAGTGATAGAATTTTAAATCAAGGTTTTGTTACCTAAAAAGAATTGTTGAAGGCAGATCAGTTTTCATGGAATTTTCCCTCCTGCTGGATATTTAGACACTCTGCTGCTACACCAGGAAAACAGCAGGCCATGGGATAATTTAGGATTTTATCTTTTGGACAGAGCACAGCTTGAAAACATGAAATGTCAAATTTATTGCCAAAACTGAAATGAAATCTGGCTAAATTGTATTGCAGAAATTTCTGGGAAATCTGAGTATGAAAGACTTAAATGAACAGGCTAAAGAAAAGGTAAAAACAGAGAATCTCTCTAATTTGAATAGTGGATGAGCTTAAACTGAGCTGGCAGAGATAGAGTAACTGCCACAGGATTTTTTTTGTCATTTTAATCACTGAAAATATCCCCAGATGTGAGGCAGAGACTGGGGAAAAGGCCACACTCTCCAGAAGTCAAAGCTCCAAGCAGTACCTGTGCCCCTCGTCGAGAACCAATCTCTGATGTGCACAGCAGGCTGGGAATCCCCAAACAAGATGTGAAAGGCCTCTACTCTGACACCAGGGAGAAGAAATCAGGTTAGTTGTGTGCAGAAAATGTTCTGCTGCACTTCCTTTGGTTTTGGAGTCCAAGAGAAATCCCAGCAGACAGCCATGAAAAGGAGAAGTTGAATGAAATTCAGGATAAATTAGCAAATGTTGGTTCAGAGCTTTGAAATCTAAATACATGTAGGGAGGAGCCTGGGGGGTTTGGGAGCAGTATTTTTATGGAGGTGGGCTGAAGATCAAGGACTGCTTTCAAACTGTGGGCACCAAAATAAGTGTCAGGGGCACTGGAAGTGTGAACTAAACATCCTCTGCAAATGGGGAACAATGAACAAGGCTGCCCTGAGCCTCCTGCAGCTTAATTTCAATTCCTCTTCAAAGCATAATTTGGCAGTTCCATGCCAGTATTGATGTGGGAGGAGTATGAAGGGTCTGAAGAGTTGCAGTGAGGTTAAGAATTGGTTCCTTGACTTCTTCCTCTCAGTCCTGTCTGGTTTGTTCTTTTTTTAATGTTTCTTTTCATCTGTTTAGGTAATTTATGGACCAGATTGGGGTCTGCTCCAAAGACACAGGAAAAGACTCCAGAGAAAGCTGAAAACTCTGTGGCATCTCCAGAGGAAGATGACTCTGAGCTGCAGAGGGTTTGGGGTGCTCTCATTAAGGAAAAAGAACAGTCCAGGCAAAAAAAGAGTCGCTTGGATCATTTACCCTCCCTACAAATCGAGATCAGCCGGGAGAGCAGCTCTGGCTCAGACTCTGAATCATGATGGGTTCACAGCCTGACCCTCCAGGTGCTGACTGCAGCCTGGCAGGATCCCCCTTGCCCAAAAGCTGGACACTGGCAAAGACTCTGCAGTGAAGGTTCCAGAAGTGTCTCTGTTCCTTTTCTACAAGAGAGGCATAAACCACTTGAAACCTAAAGCAAAGACATTTGTCTGGAGTCTGTGGCTGGCCCTGTGCTCTGTAGGGCATTGTCATCTCTGTTTATGACAGCAAACCTGTAGTGAATTGTAGCAAAACATTTTCTCCCCTGAGCTTTGAACTTAAAAGATGAGGCAGAAATGCTCTGTATTTTTAAGGAGACCTTTTCTGTTCTTGATGTTTTCATCATGGAAACATTTTAACAAAATGTTTTACACACTTCATCCAAAGAACAGGGCATTTATTTCATGACCCAGATCATTGCCTTGCCCTTCTGGCTCTTACCAGCACTCTTCCTTTCCTCTTGAAGTAATAACAGTAAAGCTTCCTGGGTGGGCAGCCAGCAAGGGTAAAGCATGAAGGGATTGGTTGTCACACTCCCTTCCTCCAACACACTGAATGTAAATCCAAGTTACACATTTTATTGCAGTTAAATCCCATGTAGGTATCCCAGTGGCACCCCAGAATCCAAGGAATGCTGCTCATTTCTTTTGGTGGTGCCACATTCTGCTGTAGCAGGGATTAAGATGTTCAGGACTGCAAAGCTGGATGTTTGACAATGTGTAAACCCCTGAGGGTTTGGGGGTTGGTTTTTTTTGCTGTTGTTCAACAAGGAGAGCTTATATTCCTGTTATTCCACCTTGATTATGTCCTGAAGCAAGCCAACAGCTGGAAAGCATTTTTATATTTGTGAGAATCCTCCCATTGGCCACGGTGAAAGCTCTAGTGGTGTTCTCCTCTGTGCTGTTCTATCTGTGTAGAAGTGAAAGAGAAAAGGAAAACTTTAGGATCACTGTCTCCTGTCAATATTTTGGATGTTCTTCCTGTATATTACATGTGGATGTGGACATGGGTGACTTGTTCCATTCAGCTTTTTTACCTGCACATTTTCACCCTTCCCTGGGTAGGACAAGGGTTTGATCAGTGTGCAGCTGCTAGTTTTTTTTCTTTTTCATGTTGCCAGTAATTCTGAGTGAGGAATAATGCAGCACATCACATTCAGGTAAACAGGTAGCAAAACCATTTTAACAGTCTGAAATCTGTTTGCATTGTCCCTGTTCCTTGGTTCTGTCAGCCCAAAATATCTGTCAACTTCTCTTCCCATTTCTGCTTTTTAACAAGCAATTTTTTCCTGTTTTTTTTTTTTTTTGCCCCCCTATTTTTGTACTAAGTTGAAGTAGGTTTGAGATTTCAGCAAGGAATCTGCAGAATTAACTTTTCTTATGCTTTTTGATGTGTGAGGATAGCAGCATGTCAAATGAAAGGTCAAATGACAGGCACAGTGACTGAAGGGCAATCTGGGGGCTGACCAGGCTTCAAGCCTTACTCTTTCCTTGTTTTGTGACACTCATCCTTGATTTTATATTTAATTATTGAATATATAAATGTCTCATAAAAGTACTGTTGAGAGAAACGCCTGCAATGTCTGATCACTGTAATAACTCATTTTAAACGTGTGCTTTCACTGATATTCTTTCCCAGAGAATCACTCCCACCTCTCCAGATCCTGATAAAATTTATTTCACTGGTGTCTTTTTGCCAGTAAACCTTTGTGTTGTGTCACTGCTTTGAATCCATTGAGACCTTTCTTTTTCCTGAAAGGAATCAACACCTCATGCACCAAAGCTGAATTATTGGGAGCCCTTGTGTGGTATTTCCATGTCAATATTCCTGATTTAAACCAGGTGAAGGATAAACTGATGGGAATAGGGGATTTCTGATCTAAAAGATGTGTGAAATCAAGCACAGGCCTGTGACCCTTAACTCTGCTTCTGCCTTCCAGGTTGTCAGAAATATGCCTTAAAAATTCCCCCACGCTGGTCAGGACTGTGGTTTTATGGTTTTGGGGGGGTTTATGTGTGATATTGAGCCCACAGGAGCTTAGCTGCAAGAAAAAAAGAGGTTTATAGTTTAGAGAGGGTTTTGTAATTGAGTGTGCCTGGTTTTGCTTTTTTACAGTGTCCAGAGAAGCCTTGGAGAGTGCTGGTATCAGGAATTCTTTCCAGCTCTGGGCTTCCGTAGTTACCCAAACCAAAGTGCTGGGATTTGGTAATTAAAAATTAACTCTAAATTTTAAGTCAATGCTTTTTCCTCAATGTTTTAACTTCCATCCATTTCATCAAGAGATTGCAAAGAGAATTTTGTTCCAAATTTCCTTCTTCTTGTGTTCAGCTGTCAATCCTTAGCTAATGTGATTTTTCACTCACCTCCCAGCTATCATCACCTGCAAGAACTTGATGCAGAAATTGATGTTTGATAGGGAGACGGGACCTGTGTATTTCACTAAAATGTGTTTATGTTGAAAATGGCAAAAAAGGGGAGTGTTGGCTTTGGCTCTTGCTGGAGGATCTGAATGTTAGGTGGTTTGTTATAGCACCACACTAGTCCTTCTTGTAGGAAGTTTTTGCTGTTTGGAAAATGGATTTTTGATAAATAGTTCTTCAGGCTGACTGAGCACGTGGTGTTGAGGGTGGAATTTTAAAGAAAAGGTGGCTTTGTGTTTCTTCTTAAAACCATGGCAGATGCACTTAACAGAGAGGAAAGGACACCAAAACACCCCTATTTTCAGTCCAAGATGACATAATGAGAAAAGAACGGAACTTTTATTTAAAAACAGCTCTTCTGTTCTAAATAAAAGTAGCCTGACATCACTCCGACCTCTCCAGTGTTCCTGGAAAGGGCAGGGCCGGTGCTCCCTGGGGCTGTGCCCGGCCGGGGCCACACGAGGGTCCCTGCCCGAGGTGGAGCCTAAACCTGGGGGTTTTTTGGGTTTTTTTGGGACTTTGAGCGATCCCCGCGGCTCCGCCCGCCCCGTTCCCTCACGGCCCACACGGCAGGAAACGGAAGCCTCGGCGCCCCCCGCCTGCGGAGCAGTGGCACAGCCCGCCCCCACCGCGGGGTGGTACTGCCCAAGCCTTTATAAGGGGCCGCGGAAAGCAAGCGCGCCTTTTCGTCCTGTGCCCTTGGAGGCGCTGAGGTGAGAGCGGGCTGGGCTGGGCCGGGCTCGGGGCCTGCAGGGCGGGCAGGGGCGAGGCTCGGGGCCGGGTTCAGGGCCTGCAGGGCGGGCAGCGAGGAGGCGCAAGCCCGGCTTGTCGAGCGAAGCGCCCGTACCGCTGAGCGAGCTGAAGCGCTCTCTCCCCCATCTCGGCAGTGGTAGCGGCCGCCGGGCCTGGCTGGGCCGCGCGGGCCGGGCCGCACCATTGCAGGGGCGGGGGGGGGCGCGGCCTTGGGGCGCGTGGCGGCTCACGGCTCTTGTCCCTCAGGGCACCATGGAGGCGGCAGCGGCACCGCGACCCCGCCGGCAGCGCCGGGACCCCGCGGGCACCGCGGAAACCCCTCCCCGGTAAGTCGGGAGGAGCTCTGCCGGGCCGGGGCTGTGTGCGTGGGGCATCGCTGCTGGCGCGGCCCTGCCCGCGGCTCCGTGAGGGCCGTGCAGGTATCGCCGCTCTGCGGAGCGCTCCGCATCCAGCGCTGGCCGTGGGTTTTTGTGGCGCTGCAGCCATCGAAATCAGCAATTAAAGCCCTTTTTTAAAATTCTTATATGTGCTACACTCTTTCTGTGTAATTTAAAATCGCACCCATAGCGTTAGAGTGTTTGCCATTTCAGTTTGAAAAGTGCCCTCTTGGTTGATGCAACCTTGTGAGCCGCATTCTTATATTACTTTCAGTTTACATAGTTTAAATTTCCTGATTTCAAGGAAAATTTTTTTCAACTTTTTGAAAGTTGAAAACTTTTTTCAAAACTGGAATTTCCTACATTTTCAGTTATCTAGAGAGGGTTGCTGACTACTAATAGCTGTCTGATATAGATATTTCAGTGATTCATATCAACATAAACACGGGTGGGGGCACAAGCAGAGTTGGTCATGAGGGTCTGGTTTTGTTCTTGTTTTTCCCTGCATAAACCTACTTTATACTGTTACAGAGTATTCTAGTAACATTTCTCTTACTTTTACTCCCACAGCAGAAAGATGTCTTGAAGTAAAGAGTAAGTTAATTTTTTTCTTTTTACATTAAGGTGTGCAGAGTTGTTAAAAGGGGTTCCAGGCCTTTACAAGTCAAAAATAATCTGTAAAAAATGCACTTTAAGTTAAATAAAAACGAAATAAAACTGGTTTTATGCACTCACAAGTTAAGAGTTACTGCTTCATGTGCAGAGGGGGGAGAGTGTATGAGGTGAAAGCTGGTGTTTTGAGCGATGAATTAGAGCGTTAATTAAGGCTGTTGATGATGATAACCCTGAATAGGAAGTGCCGTCAGATGCGAGAACTGACGATACCCTGGTTCTGGTCTGAAATGCAGCTACACAGCAGCTCAAACCTCCAAATTCACCCTCTGGGGCCCAGCAGGCAGCTCGCTGTCCATGAGCTCATCTCACCCTGCTGTCCTGTGTCCCACCTCTTGCAGGGCTGGCCCTTCCTCCTGGATGTGACACCACGGGGCTGGAGCAGCTGGGGAGCTGGCCCTGATGGGAAGGTCAGTGGTGGCTTTGAGTGCCTGCACAGAGCTCTGTGCCAGCTGAAATGTAAATTTACAACGAGGTTTGTGGGGTAGAAGGAGCTTGAGTCTGTGTTCCTTAGGGTTTTAAGCCTGATCTTTATTTTCTGATGTATTTAGGTAGAGCCTGCAGGTCTGTGCTGCCACGTGCTGTGGTTGATGTCCCTCACTGAGGGGACAGCTCTTCCCAAGTCCTGTGGAGGGCACTGACTGTGGTTGATGTCCCTCACTGAGGGGACATCTCTTGGGACTGAGCAGGAGAATGTGCTGGGTGAGTTGAATATTTACTGTGTTCTTAGCTGAATGTGGTGGCTTTTGGCTGCAGTCTCAAAAAGAGACGGAATTACACATGTAGAGCAGAGTTTCTGCTCTAAATGTGTAATTAATGAGGCCCTAGGCAAGAAAAAAACCTCCTTGGACTAAACCGAGTTGAATATTTGTTGTGTTCTTAGCTGAATGTGGTGGCTTTTGGCTGCAGTCTTAAAAAGAGACTGAATTATACATTGCAGAGTTTCTGCTCTAAATGTATAATTAATGAAGCCCTAGGCAAAAAAAACCCAAAAACCTCCTTGGACTAAACTGCAGTAAATGTGTGAGAGCAGCCGTTTCTGCACTGCAGGCAGAGATAAAGTGTGTTCCTGCCACAAAAGTGTCAGTTTCTGTGATATCATGTGATGAAACTAACCCAAACGTGCTGGAATTACCGGCAGATTGACTGGTGGTGAGCAAAAGGTCTTCTGATGATATCTGACTCATGAACAAATCCATTAATGATGATTGAGGCTGGTTACCTGACCCTGCTCCTGTGTTCCAGGTGCTGCTGCTGCAGACTTCTCTGAGGCAGAAGAACTCCAACAAAACACCCTGAGGATTTTGTGTAGACACATTTTCTGCCTGTTGCAAAGTGGTAACAGTTAAAGTGGTTTATTTCATGTACATTAAAATAATCTTTAAAATCCCCACTGTGTTTGGTCACTTTGTGCATTAAGGAACCCGGGCACTCTGATCTGCTGTGAGATGAAGATGTACCCAGAGTGCAGAGTGCTCACTGCAGATCATGCCACTGGGGTTATTGTGGTAATTAGAGTTTAAACAAGACACCAGGAGTTAATTACTGCAGAGATCAGCCCTGACAGCCAGAGCAGCAAATGCAGCTGCATCTGGAGCTTGTTTGCAGGCTTGCTATTTGCCATTATGATCTCAAAATTGAATTTAAAGTCTTCTGCAGAGGCAAAGTTCAAGGGTTAGGGGGAATCTTGGCAACTTGGAGATGATTAAAAAAGTTAAAAGAGTTAAAACCCAGCATTTGGAGGCCAGAACTCCCAATTAGCTTAATTATGTCAGTAGAACTGGCAGGTTATAACACTTCAGTGCTCCAAACATCCAGACTGATGCTGCTGAGCCTTCTGCCCACCTGGTGTCAGCCGTGAAGATTTTGGGGTGTGCTTTTTGCAGAGGCCTTTTGCAAAATTTAATTAATAATTAAACTAATTCCTCACGAGCCTGTGGTCACTGCCAAGGGGTATCACAGTGTTCACTGCCCAGCTCCAAGTGGGAGAGCTGTGGATTGGTTTTGCCTTCCCTGTGGAGTTCAGGTGAAGATCTGAATTGCTTTTAATTTAGATTTTCTGACTGAAAGGTGCTGTGAGCTGGTGCTGCTCATGGGGCACCACAGGGCAGTGTCCCTGTCCCTCCCAAAGCACAGGTGGCTCTGCTGCCTGAGGTATAAACTGCATGAAATGTTGAATTTCAGGAATTTCTCTTAGTGTTTAGAAAATCAGGCTCTGTTTTTCAGAGAAATCTCCGGTTCTACAACATGCAGGTAAATTAATCTGGATTTTTTTTTCCTGGAATTGTTACTGAAGTACATCCAGGGCTTAATAAAAGCATTCAGCCTGGGCAATGGAGTAGGTAAAACATGTTTGGAATTAATTAGTTGCTCTTTATCTGAAAGTATTTGAGCAGTATGAAGAACAGGTTACTCCACTGCTTAATTAAAATTTAAAGTTACATTCTGTTCCCAGTGTTTAATGAAACAAAGTTTATTTTTGCCTCATTTTAAGAGCTTGTATATTAGAATATGTTGCCATTTCTTGTAACATGCACTGGGAATAGAAATGGGTTTAAAGCTCTCAAAAAGCACAAGGATCCAATTTTTTTAAAATGTGAATCTGCAGACCATGGAGGTAAAAGCAGCCACATGCCCTCAGCAAACAGAAATAATCAGCAAATTGTTTAATGAGCTGTTTAATTTGCTCAAGGAAGGTTTGCTGCAACTTGTTTTAGAATTCTTGCTTTCTAGTGTTAGAATTTTCTCATTGAGAGAGCAAAATTGATCTGGGAAAACTTAAACACTGAATTTACCTGGGTGTACTGAGGGTGCACTTGGTGGTATCTGTTGGAGATAAATATTCATGAGTTTCATTTTAGCATCACTTGTTTATTGTTCTAATCAAAACCAAAGTTCCTCAGCAGGGATCCTCCAGCAGGCTGGGTTTTTGCTGAGATTAATGAATGGAAAAGTGTTATTTCTGTTAGAAAATGGTGCCTTTCAAACATAACAAATGCCCTCAACATTTTACTGTGATCTTCCAGGGGAGCACAGATAATTTCATGGTGCTTGAGGGGAAGGGAAATAAAACCATTCTGTTTTGATTACATTTGGAGCACTTAAAACTTGGTGTTGGGGAATAAACAGCAGACAAAAATCTGGTTTTAAAACAATTATTTTGGATTTTCTAAAGGTTTAGAAAGAACAGTTGGCAGAAATCCCTTTGGCACTCAACAGCAGCCAACAACCCTGGATAAATCTAAAATAGATGAAAAGATTAAAGCAGAAAGGAAGAAAATATGCAGCAAAGCAAAGAATGGCTGAGTGCCAGCTTTTAGCAATAAGAGATGGCAGTGCCACGTCTGAAATCAGTGTTTGAGAGAAAACATGGAGATTATCCCCAAAATCTGCAGTGGAGCTGCTGGAGAGGGGCTGGAACGGAGGAGGAGAGGGATCCCCAGGGGCAGAGCTGCCTCTCTGGAAATCACAAGCTTCACATTTCACATAAATGCTGGTTATCATCCTCGTTTCTTGATTGGTATTGTAAAGCAATCACATCTGCAGCAGCATGAGCATAATCACTCATGCAAAGCCATAAATTACTGTAATTAATACATGCCAGCTATTAATGGCAATGTAAAGAGGAGCTCTCGTGGCTTGGTGGCTGCTGTTCCAGCTGAGGCAGTTTGGGCTGCAGCTACTTAATCAGAAGGGAGGAAGGGATATCCTGTGTGTGAGCTTCTCAGAGTGCAAGAAATCCTAAATATTGACACTTCACTCCTTTTCCTCTCCGAGCAGGAGGAAGAGCTGTTAATTTTCCAATTCTCCTTCATTTCAAAGGAGCTGCTGTTTTCCAGCATTGGTGTGCTGCAAGAAAAGCGTCACAGGTTTGTTTTCTCCCAGCTAAAGGATGGCAAATGCTTTGTTACAATTTCTGAGATATCACAGGCAGCAACTCTTGAGCTGCTCAGAGCAAAAAATCAAAATAACCTGGGGGACTTTGGCCCTTGTCAGGCTCAGGGTGTTCCTGGCACCCCTCTGACCTTGTGCTGCCAGAGCTGGAGCACATTTCAGTGTTCCTGTGAGGAAGGACAAGGTTAATGCATCATTTAATGCTCTGCCAGGACAAACATTGCCCTTCTTTGTCTCTTTGTGTCATTAGTGCCTTAATTTTACGCTTGAAATCAGTTTCAGCCCTGCTGTTATAAACTGATCCTAGAACTGCTGAACGTGGTGAGGGTTGAACAGGTGGGATTTGATTTGGGCCATGCAAGGAGAGCTTTTTTAAAGCACATTGAGCATTTTCTGCTCCTGTGCTCTAATTCACAGTCACATCTGTCCTGACACTTGAGCCCACAAGGTGGGGCAGTGGCCAAGCTCAGAGCTTTTGAAAGAAAAGATTTCTGCAGCCTTGGAGGTGCTTCCTTGGGGAAACTCGGTTTTAATGCTGGTTCCTTCCCTGCTTCTAATAAGATTTGCAACTTTCATTACTGTGTAGAGAATCCCACACACAGTGATAATGTCACTCTTTAATTAGCTGTTAATTAATGTGTCTCAGTGTTGGGCCAGCAAAGGCTCATTTGATGAGCTTTTGATGCTGTGCAAACTTGCAGTTCATGGTCTCACCCCATAGTGTTCCTGCTCTGAGTGTGATGAGGAGCCAAAGAGTTCAAACTTATTTTTATTTGATACAAATAAAGGATGATTTGCCCTTCATGACCCTTCCCTCCCATGCAGCTCAGGAGCTGCCAGGCTGTGCCTGCTCCAGGTGGATTTTGAGTCAATAAACACCCCCAGCCCAGCACCTGCATGGCACTGAAACCTGAACAAAATGCAAAGGAGAAAATCACTCAGTGGAGGCTGACTTCAAATCCCTGCTGTTCTAATCAAATAGAGATGTTAAAAGTTTAATCTCCAACAATTAAGACTTTTGTTTGTTAGACTCCTGTTAGTTTTTGCAAGTCAATACTTGGATTTTTTTCCATAACAGTTTTTGTGTGTAATGGTTTGTGGTAAAATCATTGCACAGCCCAGCTGCAACACGAGCTCTAAACAAATAATGATTGATGTTTCTGAAGCTGCCTATGGCTTTCTGCTGGGCTCTCCTTGGTTTTCCTTATAATTTTATTTCCCAGATTTTTTGATTGCTTTCTTGCTCTCGCTTTCTCAGATCCTGTCAGATAGTTACTCTTGTTTTTTTGTGTATTTTGTGCACTTGCAAACTGCACCTAAAGATTTGTTAGTGTTGGCTTTGGGTTTATTGGGTGCTGTTGTCACTGAGCAGTGGAGTAGGCTTGAGATTTAACAGCACATTAAAGACAAACTTCCAGCTAAGCCTGAGGTTATCAGCCATAATAAAAAATAATAAATTTTCCTGGATAGCTGAAACTTTATTAATGAACACCTGAGTCAAGATAATAGTGGCAGCAATGGTAATTTGGTTATCAGCCCTGATCAGACAGCAAGAGCAGTGCTGGTGCTGAGGAGATCTGTGAGCTGCTTAATGCCCCTCAGAGCAGCAGCAGCAGCTGAAATACCCAACAGAAATGTTTTACATCTGTGCCTCCATCTGACAATCCTGCAGCAGGCTGCAGTGCTGCACAGCCCCTGGCTGCCCTGCTGGGAGCAGGCACAGGATCTGCTCAGCCAGTGCACAGAGCAATTCTCTGAACTGTGCCAAATCAGGTATTCTATTCCTTTCATCCGTGGCAGTAAATAATAAACTCTTTGTGCTGAGTGAAATCCAGGGAATCCTGCTGGGAAGGTGATGGAATTGTTTCAGAGCTGGGAGCGAGGTGGGAGCTGTGAAATGCACAGTGATGGGGAGCCCCTGCACCAAGGTAGCTGCATTTGAATTTAATTAATTTAATCTATCCAGGCACCTCCCCAGCAGCCTGTTTGCTGCTGTGTTTGGAGGAAAATGCTCTCTCCTTGCAGGAGGTGAAATAAAGCTTCAGTGTCTGTTTGGAAATGCAAAACAGGGGCTGCATCAAGGGCAGGGATTTCAAAGGTGCTGCTTTTGTGCTTCAGGAAGGTCTTTGGAGATGACAGCAACAGCGTGGTGTCACCTGGCAACAGGTCAGAGGCTGGAGCTGAGGCAAGAGAAGGGTTTCAGGGAGGAGAACAGGGCTGAAAAATCACCAACACCGAAGTGGTCTGAAGAATGGATGTGGCACCAGGGTGAGGGGACAGCTCTGGGCTGGTGGCTGCCCCTGCCCTGGAAGTTCAGCCCATTTTGGGGGCTGGCACAGAAAAAAAGGACAATGTTTGCATTTCAGCCCCCAGCTCTGCTGTTTCTGTGCCTGTGGTGGAGGGGAGCTCTGAGCCTGCAGGAAAGCACAGCTTGGGAAAATCCTGAGCCTTGGAATCGATCATTTAACAAGCAGGTGGGTACAGTGAAGATGAAACAACAACAAAAAAGGAATGGTGAAGTTCTCCTCTTGGAAAGTGATGTGTAAGTGCACACAGCCCCAGGAGAGGCCTTTTATTCTGTGTGTTTGGAGCCTGTCCACCTCTGGGATGTTCTGCCTGTCCCTCTACGTGCAGAACTCCCCAGCAGTGGAATCCTGTGGGCTCAGGAGCCACAGCCCTGGGGCAGCAGCTACCAGAGTGTGATTGATTCTTCAGTGCCTTGGTTTTCATTTCTGGAAGAGCTGGAATTGCAGCTCTTACCTGAGTGAGTTGCCAGACCAGGAGCAGCTGCCCAAGGGAAGCTCATTCCTGGGTGATGCAGCTGGGTTTCCACATCTGTTGCAGTCCAATATCCCACAGTTTTCCATCCATCCCTGACTCTCTGGATGTTTATTCCAGGAATTTGGGCCTGTAGTAAGATGCTTTGAGGTTTTAATTATGTAGGTTGTTGTTTAGGATGGTTGCGAGTGCTGCTTGCAAAATCCTGACCACAAAGCACCTCCCCAAAGCCTTGCCCAGAGCCAGAGGAACCCTGGTTTCCCTGGAGAAGGACAGAGCTGACAGGGAGAGCCAGGAATGAAGTGGTTTTACATCACACACCTTGAAAATCCAGTGATAAATGCCCAGGCCAAACCTCCAGTGAATTAAATGTTAATATTTCTCTCCTCTTTTGTAAACCTCCAGTCTATTTGTCCTTCCAATAACAGCTCCCTGAGAGCTGCCACGTGCACTCACTGGAGGCTGGGATTGCTCATCCCAACCTGCTGGATGCAAACCAGCCCACAGGTTTATTTTCTCCTCAGACTGAGTTAATAAAACAGCAAAGAAAAAAGATGGCCCAGAAGCCACAGGATCAATAAGCTATTAGGAGCCAAGAAAACTCAGCCATAATTAAAGGCTGTGGTGAACAGGTTGCATCTTTTCTGACTCTATTAAATCAGGCCTTCAGTTTTATGTAAAACCATCAGCTGAGCTGGAGGTAAAACCAGCTGTGTCTCTGTGTATTTACAAGGGGACATAAAAAGGGATAAAAAATAGGGGGATAAAAAAGGGGGGATGAAAAATGCACACCCAGAACTGCCAGAAGGGAATGCAAACAAAGCACTTCCAGTTCCCATCCTTCAGGGGTAACTGGGCCAGGGGCTGATGGAGCTGGCACATCAGAAATGACACTTTATTCCCAAATACCTTTCCTCGGTGCCAGCTTGGGATCCAGGATTCCTGCAGTGAGCAAAGCTCTTGTGCTCCTCCTGGAGAACAAACCCTGTGCTAACATTTTACAGAAACAGATCCCAGGATGGTTTGGGTTGGAGGGGAATTAAAGCCCATTTCATTCCAGCATTCTGCTGGGGGCAGGGACACCTCCCACTAATCCAGGTTGTTCCAAGCCCTGTCCAGCCTGGGGATCTCCATCCATTTATTCATGATAATGAATTAATATTAATATTAGTTTGTCTGGAGCTGGGCCCTCCCTAGGAACTGAGGCTGGAGCCTGGCTGGAGGCTGTCAGAGCTCTGTGAGGGATGGCTCTGTCCTTCAGAATTTCCTGTTACAGACATTTCATAGAGCTGGAAGCTCCTCTCCTCTCACAGCCTGCTGGTGGAAATCATGCCCCAGGCACAGAAAAACCCCACTGCCCTTGGCGTGGAGGAAAAGTGGGATCAAGGATGGCATCCTCCTGCCAGAGAGGTCTGGAGGAGATTTCATCTGTTGCTCACCAAGGAACATCTCACTGCAGAGCTTGGGTCAGTTGTTTTTACCCCTTTTCCCTAAGCTTTGATATGTGAATTCTGCTGATCAGGTCAATTACTTTCCTTGGCAATGGCACATCCCAGCCAATGGAGCAGGGGAGCCTTTGTGTTGGGTTGGTGTTTGGGCAGTTTTGGGTTGACATTTGCTGACTTCTGCCCCTGAGCAGCAGCAATGCTTTTGGCCTAAGTATTTTGTGCTTCTGGACATCCCCAGCAGCATTTTTGTGTCTCCCTCTGCTCTCCCACACACTCCCTGCTCAGGGGTGACTTTTCCCAGCCTATTTCCTGCTCCCAACCATCCTCTGGCAAAGGAACTCTCATTTTAAATGAATCACCACCTTCAAACACAGCCAGCCCTGGTGCAAACCCTGCCCAGCTCACCCAGCTGGCAGGAGCTCTCGGAGCGTGGCACCAGCCCCTTCATGGCCCTCTCACCCCTCTCTCACCCCATTCCCTGCCTGCTGTTTCCATTCCCCTCGCTGTGGGCTCCTCAGTCTGCACAGAATGATTTCCAATTACATTTTTCTTGCTGAGGCCATCAATCTCCTCCCCAGACTGGTTTGCTTGATGCCCAGGTAGAGCTGTGGTGCTGCTGGGGAGAGAACCAACCAAGCCAGGCTGAGGATTTTTATGCTTTATTTATTTTATGGTGGCCCTTTCCTCCTCTCCTGGACAAGAAATGACCTCATTCTGTTTTAATATTCTAACAGCAGCGATTTTCAGTGCTTGAATCCTTCATGTAAGGCCAGTTAAAAGCTTCTGACCCAAAGCAGCAGCCCAGAGTAGCCCAGGGAACATTGATTATATGTGGAGTGAGCCCTGAGCTTGTTTTGATGTTGATGAGCTGGGAAGGGAAGCTCACACTCTGCTTTCTCTAAAAAAAGAAAAACAAAAAAAACCCCAAGCAAACCCCACTCTGTGCTGAGCCCACAGGATCATCATTATCCTGAAGTGCACTAAGTGGATAATTGAGCTAATCCACACTGTGAGGGAGGCACTGATGAGCCAAAGCTTTTATAACCAACTCTCTACAACAGCTCTGCTTTTTTTTTTCCCTTTTTCCATGGAAGTAATTTGGTGCATCCTCCAGCATGCACGGATATATTGACAAAAATCCCTTTCCAGCTCTTTCTCTGTCTCAGAAGGGCTGAATCCTCACTGGGCACAGGGACATTGTCAGTGCCAGTGGAGCAGAGGTGGCTCAAGCACTGCCACACCTGCACAGGGCAAAGGCTGTGGGATCTCCCTTTGGAGATATTGAAATTATTTCTCCATGGCTGATGTGTTTCCCAGCAGGGGGAAGCTGAGCTGGAGGGAAATGTGGCAGGAGCAGCTCCTGGGTGGTTTTTGTCTGTGAGGGAATGGAGCAAGGCAGGAATAAAGGATGCAGAGCTTGCTCTAAGTGCAAAGTGCCTCTGGTTTGTGAATTTGTGAACTGGGGGTCCAGGCAGCTCCTCAGGCCCCGGGTCCTGTGCAAATACTTAGCAGGGAATAAAAACCTTGCAGCAAGGAGCTTGTGATTGAAATAATTTAAACAGGCAGAGGGGCTTGAGCTGCGCACGAGGAGCAGAGCCCAGCACTGAGGTACCTGGGTAGAAAGAAGGAATTGCTGCAGTTTCTTTTTCCTTTTTTTTCTGCAAAGAGAAATCTTGTTCTGAATTAAATCCCCCTATGTTCCCCCAACTCCTTGGCCCCCGTGGTTTGTTGCTGGGACAGAGCCCCTGCTGCAATAAACAGCCTTTTATCCTTCAGGAGATAAACACCCTGTGGAGCACTACCCCACTCTCAGCCTTCCTTTCTCCTACATTATTTTATTTTGGCAATATTTTAAATTTTAAAGATTCTTTTATGATGCTTCTGTGTCCACCTTATGCCCACCCTGATAAAGCCAGCCCATAAACTGAGCTCTTTATTTCTCAGCCTCCTGAAGCATCCAGAGCAGCAGCTCTCAGCACTGCCTTGTCCTCTGCTTTTTCCTGGGCATTCAACCTGGACAGAGGGAAAATTCAACACTGGGTCTTTATTAAACATTATCATTTATTTTGTTTATGGATAGCTCCTTTATTTCAAACAGAAATATTCCATATTCACTGGAAAGTTGGTTTTTTCATGCCTGTTGGAAAGAGTTAGAATTAAAAAAAAAAAAAAGGAAAAAAGGCTTGGATACATGCAAATCATACTGTTGCCAAATGTATTAAAAGTAGCAGAGTTTTTTCTAAGGTACCTTCTTGCAAATGGAGGGCAAACAACCACTGGCAGCCTGAAGCCCCTCTGGAAAAATGGACAGAGGCAATGGGACCAAAAATCTGTTTGCACCCAAAAAAAGCCAAGCTGGAGCCACTGCTGGAGCTGCTCAGGGAAGGGCTTGGGGCCAAGAGGCTCCCTCTGCAAAGGGAGTCAGCTCTGCTCCGTGGAACACCAAGGAGAGGAAGCTTTCCCCACTTTCCTGCCCTCCCCCAGCTCTGGGATCCAAGGAAATGCTGGTTCCAAAGAGCCAAAGTGCACATTCCAGCACTGCTCTCTGGGCTGATCCATTTCCCACTGAAAATAAACCCTGCCTTAGAAAAAAACGGGAACCTTTCAGGAGCAAAGCACTTCTGGCCCAGGGGGCAACAGCCATGGCCAAGGGAGCCCAAGGTTTTCTGGGGCTTTAAATCCCAGCTGGCTGTGTGGCAGTGACAGAGGGGATGAACCCCAGGCTTGTTTCACCTTTTTTAACCCTTCAGTACCGTGGTCTCTTTTGTCAGTGATGCTCCTGAGCCCTGACTCCAGGATTTGTGTGTCCCTCCCAGAACCCAGAATGGGTCAGATGCTCCCATCAAGAGCTCAGGAATTCTTACAGCTGCTGGGAAACTGGGTTTTACTGGACAAATCCTGGGCAGGCACAGGTGCCAGCCTGGTTTTGGTAAGGCTGGAGGTGAGGGTGGTGTCCAGGCACGCTGCAGGCTGGGATTTAACCCTGCCCCAGGAAAACAAAGCTCTCCCCCTGGGCTGGGCTCACAGTACTGAGAGGAACACCCTGCTTTGTGTGTGAGCAGGTTTTTGTGATGTCTCAGCAGCCGTGCCTCTCACCAGTGGTTCCTGAAGTCAGGAGTGGGAAGGATTGAAGGTTTATCCCAGGCAGGTCCCTTTGGGGTGGCTGCTGTCTGTCCATCCCATGTGGGGAGCAGCTGAGACCCAGCACTGAGGAAAGGGAGCCCTGCCCTGCCCAGCCTGGGCACCTCCCTGCTCCCTTTCCTTGCCCTTCTGAGGTTTTGCAGCCCCTTGGAGATGCATTTCTGAGAGAGCCAAAAGCACAGCACACCACTAATGCTTCAAAACACCTGGCCAGCTGTTAGAAAATACAAACACTCTACGTGATCACTTTTATGTGTTCTTCGAGAAGAAAATCACTGACGTTCGTGGCACAGGGGGAAGGCAGCAGCTGGGACTCCTGGAGCACCCAGGAGTGGGAACAGACCCCCCCAGCTCTGAGGCTTGAAGTCATCCTTGCTCAAGGTGCCCAGCCAAGGGCTGACATCATGTCTGTGGTGTGGCAGCACCTTGCTCTGGGCCAGGCAGCTCCCCAGCCTCTCTGTCCATCTGCTCCCAGCCCGTGCTGCCAGCCCGGCCTGGCGCAGCCCTCAGCTCCTCCTGGCTGTCCCCCAGCCCCTCCTGCCCCTCCAGATCGCTGAGCTGCCCCTCCCCAAACTCCAGGATGGTCGGCAAGTTCCCCTGCTTGGGGCAGCGCCTCTTCAGGCTGACCAGGAAGGGCTGGGGCAGCGAGAAAATATCCACGTTGTTACCCAGATCGATCCAGGTGACGCTGGGGAACTTCTTGGGGTCCTTGAGGGTCTCGGTGAGGTCCCTGAGGATGGCCTTGGTGAGGCGGTTGCCGTTGAGGGCCAGCGTGGTGAGGCGGGGCAGCCCGCAGAGCGCGGGCAGCAGCTGCAGCAGCACCTCGTCCGTCAGCTCCGTGAAGCACAGCTCCACCGTGTCGATGTGCTCCGAGCTGTGCTCCAGGTACGACGTGACCCTCTCCACGTCCTTCAGGGTCAGGGGGATGCCTGACAAGTCCACGGTGTTGTCCTGGGGCTTCCCCATCAGCACGGCCTTCAAGCTGTGAGGGGAGCATGGGGTTAATGGGGGGTGGCTCTGTTTGGGGGCAAGTGGCTGAGAGGGCAGGTGTTGGAAGGCTGGATGTTGGGGAAGGTGAAACAGGAAAGCCTTATCAATATGATTGCCTGGCAAAAGATTCTGCCAGGAGTATGGAATATTGAATATGGAAACTGTAAGTGAGATTGAAATGAAAGCAAGCTTTAGAATACCTGAGTCACTGAACAACTGGAAAACAATGGCATGGCTGCTGAAGGTAATTCCCATTTGATGGAACAATCCCCTCTGCTTGCAGACAGGCCCAGGGGTCAGAGCAGACCCTACTAGCTGGGCAGAAGGGGTACAAAGAGCAGCTTTTAGGGTTTAAAATGTAACACAGTATGGTAATGTAATGATTCCTACAGGCTGTATGTAAATGCTATAGGATTAGTATCTTGTATTAGATTGGTTAGTGAGAATTAGAATATTCAGCACAGAAGAAGATTTATGGTATTGTAACAGGAACTTCTCTGTCTTTTACTCTTTTGTCCTCTCTCTTTTACTCTTTTGCTCTCTCTCATCCTCTTCACCACACTCTTGCCTTCTTTCTCTCTACCACTCTCTTTCCCTCTCTCCCTCCTTGGAGCCTGCTCCGAGCTGTGGCTGCAGCTCCCAGCAGGGCCCTGCACCCAGCCTTGGCAATAAACCCCAGGTTCCACGCTCAGAGCTGTCCCCTCACCCTGGTGTCACATCCATTCTTCAAACCATTTTGGTGTTGGTGATTTTTCAGCCCTGTGACCGTCCCACCCCCATCACTCCTACACTGGATGCTGAGAGGCACAGGGAACGCTGCAAGTGACCTGAGGCTGTGGAGGAGGCTTCCAAAACTGATAGACAGCACTGGGATTACAGGTGTGGAGTTGGTTAGGAGTGTGTAGTATCACAGGGTGGAAAACTTAGAGTTTGGGGTTTTAGAATATAGAAATAACTATGAAGCAAGATGGAGGTTTTAGGGTGGAGGCAGGTTGTTCTTTACCCCCTTCTTCCTTCTTCTTCATGAGTTTTGTAATTGGGCAGAAAAGTCCACACTGCAGGCTTCAAGGGATCAGTTATTGGGTTAAAAGGGAAAATAATCCAGGTGTCATTTCTTAACTGGAAAGTTTAGTCTTAAAAGACCTTGTAACAAGAGATTGTTGGCCATTTTGTGCCTTCTGATGAAAGGCTGCAGAACTCATGGTTGTGAGGCTGCTTCACTGACAGGAAATAATAAACACCTGAGTCCCTACATGAAATACCACCTCAAGTGCCTTCAACCCAGACCTCAACAGAGGTAGAAAATAAATACAGAGAACCCACAGGCAAGGACAGGAGTTGTGGGAAATGGATTTGTAGAAAGTTATATAAAATATTAAAATTAGAAAATAGTTGGCTTCTAGTTGTGATAGCATGAATTATAACATCTGTATTGTCTCACCCTTCTCATGAAACTAAAAATGGAACAAAAGTTTTCAAAACGCCTCTCAGTTGCCCCATCTCTGGGGCAGGAAAAGGGCATTGTCCAGCAAGGAGTTTTGGAGAGGTTTTGTGGAGGATTTCAGCTGGGATTGATGGGACTGTGGGAAACGGGTTTGTAGGGAGTTCCCAGGGCTGGCTGAAGGCTCACACAGTGTGCATCTGTGTGCAAACCTTGAGATAAGAAATGCTGACTTAGGAATGCCATGGAAGAGGACAGACATTGTTGAGAGAGAAACAGAAGTAGAAACAAGTTTCAAAAGATGGCCTTGCAAATCAGACTGGATACTTCAGAGAAACAGAACTGTGAAAGATGCATTGTAGTGGCACCCACGAGGGGTAGTTTTAGATGATTGGCTTTAAGGCATGGTGTGGCAAGAAGCAGATAATGGAAACACTTATAATGTATTGTAATTAAAAAATAGTTAGCTTCTGATTGTGATGGTGTGAATTATAACACTTGTATTGTCTTACCCTTCTCATCAGACTGAAAATGGAATAAAAGTTTTTAAAACACCTCTCAGCTGTCCCATCTGGGGGTCAGGAGAAGGGTCAGAGGACATCCAGCAGCTCTTCTCTAGGGTGTCTGTGCTGCTGGGGGTCACTGAGACATTCCAAGGCTGTTTCATTCAAACTCACACTCAAACCCCATCCTTCAGGAGTGCCAAGTTCATTTTTATCACCCCTGGGTTAAAGAGGTTATCCTGGCTTTTCAGAGCCTTTCCTGCTGGATTTAAGGGTGAGGATGCCCTTGATCAGACAGGCAGGAATTGCTGTGTGACATTTCCCACTAGGAAGCTCTTTGAGCAGCAGCAGTTCAGGTTTTTTGTCCTCTCAGCTGCACAGGTGGGAAACTGAGACCCCAAGCTTAGCAAAGGAAGAACAGACACCTGCAGGGTGGTTTGATCCCACTGCCAGTGAGTGAGACCTGTTCTCTCCTCAGCCTCACCACAGAGGAGATGACCCTACAAGAAACCCTCAGAAAAATACATGAATTCTCACAATCTCAGAGATTTATGACCACGAGCTAGGCTGGAGTTTCACAGGTCAATTTATCTCCAGCAAAGCCCTGCTGGCAAACCAGGTGCTGAGGATGTTTTGTTCATGAATTATCCTGGGTTCCTGAGGAGGTGGAAGGAGCCCTGTGACTGCTGTGTCAGCTTGGTGGCCTCTGGTGTCTCCTAAGGTGGCCAAGGAATGTGAAGCTGTGGAGAATTCTGTGATGCTGCTGCTCTGGATCCTCTGGGAGTGTTTTTTCCAAGCTGCCCCTGAGGGATGACTGCCCAGAGATTCCAAAGAAGGGGGAAAATGGGAGCTTTACCCCAAAAATCCACACCCATGAGTTGTATGCCAGTTAAACCCAGAGCTACTCCACATCCAGAGCTGTAATTTGGTGTTGGCAGCTGCTTCTACAACTACAGCCACAACATTTTCTGGGAGCAGCCCCATGTGGGATCAAGGTGATGCCTCAGTAACAAGTTTCACCCAGCAAAAAACCCCCAAATTCCTCTTGCCTTGCAGTCTTTGAGCACCAAAGCAGCATCTCACCCCCAAATAAAGCACGGGGTACTC